AGCAATTTTGTTTTCACTGCGCAACTATAAGAGTCACTTTGGTTGGAATAGCTGTCAGCGAAGAGGTACACAGAGAGAGGTAATCACTTCTGTTTGGTGCAGAAGCCAAATCCGACACATCGTTTCAGAAGGYGGATGCGCAGGGCTCTGCGAGACGATGCCCACCGCCTCCCTCATGAACAAGCATTCATCTTTTGCCACATTGAACATAAAACGCAACGTCTCGAATCAGGGAGCACGAAGAAGGCAAAAGAAAGACTGGGATGATGCCCACCGCAATCCATTCGATAAGGACAATAAACATGACACGARCATCGCGACWGAAAATCGACAATTCCAGTTCCGTCGAAGCGGCGGCAGTTATGKGAAGAAAGACATYATGAAACGGCTGATTGGAACAGTCGTTTTGATTTCCTGGATGTCCTTTCTTTTCTTCGAATACCATGTCCTCAGTGGCAACACTGACATCAATGGAACCAATGGCAGTATTCCTGGCGGAGCCGTTACGAATGATGGTGTTAATACTACCTTCGGAGTCAGTAGTGGTTACGACTCTATCTTTTGCCGAGAAAATGCCAATTTAAGAGAGAAACTTGACCATAACGATGTGAGCGAACAATATTCAATCAACAATAGCAAGCCCGTATTTTTATGGGGCATTCCATCCACTAGTTCGAGTTATGAAATCGGACGACGAAAACTCTTGCGGGAAACCTACCTCGATTTTGATAAGCAACTGCGATCATATGTTGAGAAGGGAGTGAAAGTAGATTCTGCTCTTGCGAAGGAAGCTCCCGACGATTCGAACCGAATCTGTTCTTTGCACGATTTTATMTGCAACGAACGAGTCCAGGCAGAATGTCAGATGGTCTACATCTTTTTTGTCGCCGGMCACAAAAACGACACTCAAAGCGTCCCACCGATTTTGCTCAACGAATCCATCACYGACTTCCGCGACATGCTGCTTCCCTACGACGSCGATGATAAAGCCAGTGCACTTGGCTCCCAGAATCTCAACCTGCRCGAACCGGGAACGGTCTATCTTAACATTAGGGAAAACCAATTCGATGGGAAAATGACTACCTGGTTTAAATTTGCGAGCCTCGTGGCCAAGGAATATAACTCCCGTGCTTCAATTGCCAGACCAATTGAATACGTCTTCAAGGTAGATTCAGACCTTTTGTTACTGACTCCCCGGTTTTTCGAATGGTTCGATTCTATTCACAAGGAGCAGCAAGAACGACAAAAACAGCGAACCAGCAACTTTGAGTCTCCCTCTGCCTTGAAGACGATTCACACCGTATATGGTGGTATCGAGTTTCCAGACAGCAATTGTRTTGTGAACTATACCTTTGACCATCCCTGTCCACTRCCCCTCAGCGGTCCCTCCTACATGAGCGGCGAACTGAATTTTTGCTCAGTTGATCTGGCAACCTATATTGCAAGCGACGATTGCCCGCGCGACAAATGGACTATCCCCCACGAGGACGTATCCCTGTCTAATTATATCTATTCGTACCAAAATAACACGGCCTACCACCGCAAGATCGGTATCACCAGTAGGGGTGGTACGGAAGATATCCAGCAGCTYATCGATGTGGTCAGCGTCAACACGTCCCGAATCCTSTTGTTGCCAAACATGAAGGCCGATTGGTATCCCGTGAATGTCAAGAAAAACCCTGAGGTCTTRACGAGCGGAGAATTGCTCTGGGGACACTCGATCAAACGTAGCAACCAYTCGCAGTACCTCTACTGGAAAAAAGATCCCAAGTTCAAGATRTTTTGGAAGTTCTTTTTCAAAAAGTACACGTCCCCYGACAGGGGTCGCAACACAACACAAASYGYGACAAATTCCACGGGCAAGGCCGAGCGCCTTAGCAGTTTGAATAAAATGAAGAACGGAAAAGGAAARCATCAATTTGAATTGTTTAAGAAAAGGGCGCTTGAGAGAYTGCATCTTCGGAATCCACAGACCATGAAAAAGAATGCTAGCGAGCCAAAGACATGAATGAATCATCATCGTCACCACTCTGCAAAACTAGCAGCCAGAATGCATTACATACTGACTACRTGTACCAGCCATGTAATTTTCTATCATAGCAGAACCATAATAGTGGAATACGAGGGCGAAGAAAGGAAAGTTATTTGGACAGAAACAGACTACCGTGGATGTGAATAGTCTGAATTGAACCAATGGACACCCAAACAGCAATTCTTTCAGTGGCCTGTCAAACTACAGCGTTCGATGTTGCGAATCGATATTCATCTCGCTCTGACTGTAATTGAGAYKGTATCTTATTGATTCTCTTGGTCGTAACAGACCAACATCAATACCAAAGCATATGAAACTTTATTAAATGTGTTGATTGCTTTAGTTTGCCTRTCTCCGCTGTTTTTCAAGAAATGCAAACATCACAACAATTTATTTCACAAACGCATTTGGAATCATATGTGCCACTGTTGTACATGGGAGCACGCTCTACTACAGTGCTCGTGAATGCGTAGACAGAGATTCCTCCACAATTAGTCATAGCCAGTAAATAGTAAAAAGGTAAATATAATTGTCGCATGATTATGACTTCGCTACAATAAGATCCTTCGGAAGAAGCGAGAATAGTGCAAATCGTAAAAGCCTTTACCTACGCGASTCGAAACCATCTCAGTTGTCGAACATAGTAGAAAAAATAGAAAATAGATTGCAATCAAATGGAACGCAATGCGGTGAAACGCAATCGAGTCATGGTGCTCAATATTACGATGAGGAGATATCGACAGCTCCGTCCGATCCAACCTCGTAAACTTTGTCTCCATCGTTTGTGTTGTCGTTTGTCTTGGTTTCTTCGTCTTTCTTTGTCGGAATCAGTACCACCACTTTTCTGGGCCTTCCCTCTTTGTCGAAGACCTTTTCGTAGTCAGCGTCAATRTCCGAACCCTCCGCGGCGTAGGTGAACTTTAAGGCTTCCAGACTCAGACCCTGGTCAGGATGGCAATTCAAGCTCTGACAGGCCATCACATACATTTCTTTCGAGAGCYGTTCGTCGTCGCTGCTATTGGTGGCGAGCTGGAGTGCTGCCAGTTCGTTGTACCTAAGTCTTCCGTCCCCGTCGATGTCAAAGTGTTCGAAAAGAATCCTGACCTTGTCTCGAAAGCCTTCCGCAAAGGATAGAGTGGCATTTTCGTTTTCTTTGAGAGCTTCGAATAGGGGTTTCATTTGTTGCTGGGACTGTTCTTCCGGCCCACCTTCGTCGRAAGCGGCAACGTCCGCTGGACTATTGGATTCCTTCTTTCCACTGGGACCTTCGCTCATAGTGGTACCGGGAAAAATTCTCTATKTATCAGATGACCTTTATCTTGGCAATATGTTACGGTTCTAAATTGTGGTATCTTTAACGATCCCGGCTTCTGACGACGACTAGTAAAAACGTATTGTAACCTGATGTTYTACCTCGTTCGGATTATCACTTCACGATACCGTACTGTAGTACCGTAGCGTTTGAAGGTGTGAGAAAAACATCAAAGTGGGAAAAGCAAAGAAAAATAAATGATTTCGAATGGCCAGTTCCGATGGATGGTATGAGAATTGGCACCCGGAAGTTCGATGGCAACAACGGGACTGGACTGACGGACAGACTAGACATCAAGATCTTTGTTTTTGACTTATGGTCCAAATTTTTAAGAGAATACAGTAACAAGCAAGACTTGGTCTTTAAGTACCAAGTAAATCTCTTCCGAATCGACATAAGTTTCTGGTTCGTATTGTACGTACGAGTTAAGTTAAATAAGTCTAAAAATAGAAGTCATTTCGTTCCGTCACGACTCAAATGAGGGTCCTATTGTTTTTAATAGTTGATCGCACCTTTTCTGGTCGCCGAAAGAAATTGTTTGTAGTCACGTGACATATATGGCAGTAASAAATGCAGGTGGCCAGAATAGGCGGATCGTAGAATGGTAGTGACTCGTCCTAAATTAAAGGTATAATATGCCTCAAACGATACACATGTTTCTGGAGACTGGTCTGCTCGTTTTCTTCATAATTCTGCGGATTGAGGTCCCTCGAGTTGGACGATCGTGTGAATCTATGAAGTACTATTATCCCCTTCGTCCGTGGAACAAGGTCAATGCTGGTAGAAGTACAAGTACAACGTAATAGCGTCAACGATATCGGTAGTATTGGGAAGGGTATGCGGATACAACATCTTCTTTTCTTGACCAAAGTGTACCGCATACTGATCGCATTGCTAAGAGCACATAAACATAACCGTAGCATATGCTCGTGTAGCGTTATATTACACATAGAACCAACAACGCAAAACCGAAAAAAGATGATAGCAACTCGGGTCCCAGCAATTTTCGGGTTTGGGTCTGTTCTGATCCTAATGCTCTGTGGATTSCCATCTWGTGCCGCCACAGGGTACACGATCCCRCATCGAAACAGTAGCAACAGCAACAAGCGCGTAGATAGCCATAGAGTTCTCGAAGATACTGCTTCCGAAACATCTAACTACTATGATTATTCAACAAAGAAATCCAAGAAGGAGAAAAAAAAATCATACTACACTTATTACTCGACAAGCTACTATTCCCCAAAGAAAGGAAAATCTTGCAAGGGCTCGAAGGGTTCCAAAAAAAGTTACTACGGCTACAAGTAAGTATAATGCTTTGTAGACTTGCATTGTGATGTGTCATGTTGTGTTTGTGTCCTATTTTTTTGTGCTTTTAGCTAAGAAAAGAAAAGCAGCAATAATTGGAGCAGCGACATCATCGGGTGTAGTATGTTTTCATCATTCRTATTTCTCACCTTGTCCATCTTATCGCATGCGTTTTAATTTCATGTACCAGCTGCGAGGAAATAGAGACGCCTACGGAACCTCCCGTTACCGAGACTGAAGTCGGAGATACCGACGCGGACCAGGAGGAAGAAGTCATAGAAGTTGAAGTTTCGGAGACCAACAAAAGCGAGAAGAARAGTAAAAAAGACAAGAAGAAATCGAACAAGAAAGATAAGAAGGACAAGTCTTATAAGAGTAAGAAGAGTGASAAGAGTGACAAAAAAGAGAAAGGAAGCAAATCGAGCAAGGGCATCAAAAAGGACAAGAGCATCAAGCAGAGCAAGAAGACTCTTTCTCCCAAGAGCAGCAAATCGCCGTCGCCATCTCCTCCAGACGATGAAGGATTTACACCAAGTGAATCTTGGAAAATCTCATTTAATGGTGCCGTCGATACCGGATTTCTCTTTTACGATTCTACCACTAAATATGCGTGGTATGCGTACAACGCCGATTTTGGCGTCGATGAAGTTCTTGTATCGAAAAGTTCCGCAAGTGCTGTGGATGGCACCGTATTGGAAAGCCACACAGTAATAGAGGGGAAAGATTCTGTCACGATGGGGCGGATTTGCCCCATCGACACCACCAAGAAGGGAGAGGTGATAGAGACCATGTGCATCGATATCAAACCCCCTAAGGAGTGGCAGACGGCAACTTCGACCACAATCCAGAGCGCGGAAGCATGTTACGCGAGCGTTACCGGTGCTGTATTCAAACTGGCCGTTGTGGTCAAAGACACTTCGAAATTTATGCAATTCTATGACGAATTGGTCGGAGGTCGACTGATCGTCTACGACATCTCGCTAGCCGGAAAGGCCCAAGATCCTATCATTGCAGAGGTAGCATACGAGGGATGGGAATCGCTTTACGGGGACCCCACCATCAATGGTCGGCCGTCGTTTTCTCCTGATTGCAGAASAGTTTACTCGACTTGGTTGACCTCTGGAACTGTTATAACCGAAACCGAAGGCAGCACYGTCATTATCAACCTAGAACCAACTGCTACGACTACTGTTGCTATCAACGTTGATTCTGTTGCCAACAATGAGACCACTCCGGAGTTGTGGAGACTSGGTACCAACAGCCGCTTGGCCGGATTGACTGCCTCGAAAGATGGAAAGACGTTATATTCTGCAATCAATGTGGCAGAAGGCGACTCCCTCCGTTCCGGTGGTATGGTCGCACTGGAAGCTGCGACGGGAAAGATTGTGCAGCAGTATGCTTTTCCCAACACTGGGGGAGTGCCTCACAGCGCTTATACCAATGTGGTATTGGACAATAGCGGTCACACATACCACGTTGACAGTTTGTATGGGCTTGTCAAATTCGAAGGCGATGATTTGAACGACGGGCCAATCTGGAGCGTCATCGGGAGTGATACCGAAATGACGGATCAAATCATTGAGGAAAACACAATGAAGACACGGCACTTGAATCCCTTGCGGCCCCGAGACAAAGAAGAAAAGAATATTGTAACTGGTGGCGAAGAAAGGASTCAGACCGTCGAAACGAAGTCATCTGTTGTCGCGGACGAAATATTCACAGCGTTCAAACCGGCTTTGGATGCATCGAAATATTCTACTGTCTATTCATGTGGCGGAAGCGCGGTCGACAACGAGGTCGATAGTTTGATTGCTCTGGACACGGTGGAAGGAGAATCTGTGTGGTTTACTGCGCTTGGCAGCAGCGGTGTCAGCAAAGCGGAAACAAAATCGGTCAGCGGTGACGAGACCGACGTTGTCGACGTTGGTTCGTGCAGCGGAATCACGGACGACGTCCGCTGGGCTCCTTCGTCCGCGGCAGGACCGGAAAGCGAGGGCATTTACATTTCGAGGGGAAATAAGGTACAGTGCTTGGACGGGAAAAACGGCACTATTCTGTGGACCTACGACGCAATGGGGGACCACGACATTTCGAAGTTTGCGGTTGTTTCTGGCGAAGCAGTCTTGGTGGCAAATGGGGGCAGCGTCGTTTTCCTGGAAACGAGAGAGCCAACRCCTTCGCCAACCATAGCACCGTCGCCACTGTTGTCAACMCCAGTGGAAACACCAGTTGTGAAGCCTACAAGAAAACCAACCTCACCAACACCTTCACCGGTGACAGTCAAGCCTATCGGGAATCCCGCATCCCCACCTAGTTCTTCTCCTCCACCGAGCAGCGCTGTTAGAACGAGCTATTCCATTGGATTTCTGTCGGGACTACCACTGCTGCTCTTTTTGTGGCAATAATCCTTTATGGTAGAAGSCCGCTGCCCACTATTGCGATCAAGTGATCATGGTTTTTGTTTTAAATGTATAATTGATTGCTTTCTCTATTTTGGATATGGTTAATGCAGAAATAATTTCATAACGTATAATATAGTTAACAACATGTGCTTTGAWTTMTATACTTGGTGTTCTTATAGAGACAGGAATCTGTTGAAAGTTGCCACGCATAGCGAACTTTCTATAKTTTCAAGGCTCCAAGACGAACGATTGTTTTCAGAACAAGTACTCGCACATGATGCTTTCGCTTGATGATCATACGATTTACAAGCGCTTGAACCAGGACTGGAATCWTGGAAATGCTTTTCTTCTCCAATCCATGATGTTAGTAATTTCTTTCTRAATTCTGAACAGATTGCCCTAACCGGCATGGTTGTACGGTACCATAGTTTAGAACATTCCTGTATCTTACGAAGAAGCAAATCTGCGGATACAGCACTGTAGCAACCCGTAGTCTAGTACTTGCAGAGGTACGTACGTACGTTCTGTACCGTGTTGGAAGTTCTACTGTATCCATCCCTCTTTGTTGTGTCTTTGAAATGCGAAAGAATTTTATGGCGCGCTTGCTTGTTGCCATCTGCAGCAACGAGGTTGCGCGTCGAGTCACCCACAAGCGCAGGGTCGGCTTGCGTCCCACCAGCTCTTTTTTATCTTCACTGTAGGAATTGATCCATCCAATCAAAAGGAGACAGGAAATTCAAATATCCTCCTTCTCCCGACAGGAGCTATCGAGAATTTAAATATTAAATTATGATATGATATGTACTATCTTGTATCGAAATACTACTTTCTTGTAGCACCTCTTTTCGTCCATCCAACACCAAACAACCATTCCAAAACACTTTCTATCCATCACACAACGGTACGACCGCCTCGTACCAGCCTATGGGATACGCCACGAGTTGTGACGGGTACGTAACACCGCTCGTACGATACGTACTCGTACCCGCACAAGTTTTGTCGCACGAGCGCAACTTCCTCCCTCCGTAGCAGGCCAACTTCACCCCCTGGCAGCACCAAGCACGAAGTGACCAAAAGCTCAGCGCCACACGACAGTGTCATACATACCGATAGGATACTTTCTCGAAGCGAAAGTGATTCAATCGCAGAAACCACACTTGCAGGCATCAGCAACAGAGACATTGCATTGCATACCTACCCCGGACGACCACACATTACAAAATCCGGTTGAAAACCCTTCCACTGCGATCTAATTCATTTCGTTTTACTTCAGCACGTTCCGAACCGTAAGTCAAACCTCCTTTCACGATGCAAATGCTATCAAGACCCACCGGATCCTCCAATGCAGCCTTCCTGGCTGCCATTTATGTCGCAGCCTGTTCCATGCTTCCAACCACGGAGTCCCTTGCACCCATTGTGCCCCTGGCGTCGACACCGGCGTCCGCCACGTCGACCACCCTGTGGATCCAGAGCGAAAACTCCAAGCACAACGGCCGTRGCCGGGGCGGACGCCAGGGTGGCTACCCACAGGGCGGCGGCGGYGGCCAGGAGTACGACTACTCCGRAGGAAACCTCAAGTACGGAACGGGCAAGTACACCCAGCGAGAAAACGACGGCTACCAGGGCGGCGTCAACATTTCGAAGAACGGCCGTTCCATGCAGGACGGCGTATACCGCGAGGATCGCCTCAACGTGGACCGGGCCCGGGGCCGCCCCCGCGGGGGCAACGACTTTGATTCCCGGATGGACGAGATCGAGGACCTCKAGCGGGGCCTGGGCCGTGGGATTCCCATGGGGGGTCCCCGCGAGGGAATGCGAGACCGCATGATGCGGAACCGACGCAACGGACCCCTGGACGGCGACATGTACGACATGGGCGATGRCTACGGTCCCTCTGGCGGCGTTCGCAACCGCATGGGAGGTGGCGGCTTGCTGCGAGACCTCCAGGAAGCGGGGGGCCGAAACCGCGACGGATACGACGACTTTGGATCCCGGGGTGGCGGCTACTCTATGGGCGGCAGTGGAGGCGGAAAGGTCATGGGGGGTTCCTCCCATGGCCGCGGCGGGGGCTACCGAAGCAGCCAGTTCCAGTCGGATCTGAGCAACGAGCGCCGGCGGTTCGAGGAATACGGKTTCCGAATGGAGGACTACCTCGACGAGCAAGACCTCATCGACGAAACCGGACGGAAGGTAAGGATGAACAACGGCCGCAGACGGAACGGATACGGCATGAGCAACTTTGACCGCCGGCGGGACAATGYCGACGACTTTTACGACGATGAATTTTACGGAATGGATCGGCAGCAGGGCGAGAACCGAGGAATGGGCGGCGGCGTGGACTCGCTCCGACAGCAAGGGGGCAGCCGCGGAGGAATGAGCGATTCCTACCGCCAGGGCAGCCGCGGAATGGGCAGCAAYGGAATGGATTCCTTTCGGGAGCGACACAACGGCCGCGGTGGAAGCAGGCGTGGAGGCCGCGGTGGGCGACAGGGATCCTACAACGACTACGATGGCTATGGTGACGACTACGGTGACTACGGAGACGACTACCGCGGTGGCAGCGGCGGCGGTCTCTTGCGAGACAGGCGCTAGACGTGCCGCTCCATTGATGTCACATGGCGTGGCGGCATCGAACACTGGTCGCATGWACGGTGGCTGCATCGATTGTCGCGTCGCGAACGTTTTTATGTGTATCCAAATCTGGAAACAGAGTCTCTCTTTGTTTGCTGCAGTTGCCTGCCCCAACTTTTTAGGTTGTGGCATGGTCTTGCACCGGCCATGCCGAAACGCTCTCCGCTCGGTGCGTTGCATCCTGTGATCCAGGTCGGTGAGGAACGAATTTCGGAACGATCGAAAAAATAGTTTCCCATCGCTGTGCTTCTGCGCAAGGTAATCACAAAAACCGCAGCACCATACATCAAAACAAAACCACCCCTAAGAATTAACAAACGAAGCACCCTYAATAATAACACACACTATCACTCCACACAACCTAAACCCCTATCACTCTCACYAATACCACCTAGTTTTTGGCTTTAAAAAGTACGAGTAAAAGACAACCCTGCAGCATGGATAGCATTCAGCAGAACCCAAACTAATACGTGGTGTGCCGCACTCCAATGAAAAACAAACTGAATTTGKTGTTGTTCTAGATATTTTGTCACAGCGTCTTTCCTCTGTAYCGACTCCGGTTGYCTTCGATCAGGAATTAACCAGATGATACCAATTGTACGGATTGTACGATGGTGCGATCTATGCCTTAATTTCAAACAAGAAAAAGCCTACTGGTTGACTCTTTGGTTCGTTTGACGATTGGCTCRTCGTTTCTGGTCTTTGTTCATGAATATTGAATCCTACACAAAGCTACAACTAAGCTTTTGAAACTGTGTTCCCTTTCCCTTCGGCATGGCTTTACTCTGGGCTACTCAAAAAGGTCTCGTCAGTTTCTTTGAAAAAAAATCCCTTTTATCTTATGTACAGCATGGTTGCGCACGTGTATTCTKTCTAAATTGTTTTGGCCGGCCGCGGGCAGAGACTTTGCTTCCGTCCGTGCTCGGCGCTCTCTTCTCGTCTATGGCATCGCATTCGTTGCATCGCATTCCGCTTCTAAAAAGTGGGCGGGGAGGGCGGCCTCGTCGCATCGTTGGCCGTGTACCCGGTGGCCGAGATTCGGTTGGCGCACCGGGGTCCCTCCCTGCCGCTTCCCGAGGCCKCGGGCGGCTCGGCAGACGTTTTCGAAACCACCCTGGTGTCTTTTGCCCACGCGGTGGTCTTGGATATCGTGTGCTGGATGGATCGAACGGCCGAGGCGACCCCCACCTGCAACAAGTGCTTCGCCAGCCGCGGCTTGGATTTGAAATAGACGACTTCAAAGGAGGGATTGGCGGCCTCGGACCACTCCTTCCCAAAGGAGTGGATCCGCTTGGTCATGAACGAGTCGGAACTGGTCTGGGTAGACTTGTTGGACGACATGAGTGGGGGAGCATCCTCTACAAAYGAATAGGCCAGGATTCCGTCCAGGTTTTTCACCTCCACCGTCTTGCCAACCTCGATCCCGWAGGTTCCGGAGAGGTCGTCGACGAGGCGCTGGGCCTCTCGGCCGGAGCGGTAGCCTATTGTGCAGTAAAACACAATGGTGGGGATGGCCTTGCTCTCCGGAGTGTAGCTTCCATCGACGTTGTGCACGTAGTGGTTGATCCACCGGGTGGTCTCCAGCTCGTCCATGGCGAGCCCCCCCGAAATCATGCTGACGGAACGCTCTTCCTTCGAGCGAACGTCGATGAGCAAGAGGGGACCGACCTCGTCCTCGAAGGAAACCCGGTCGTCTCCGTTCTTGGAGGCGTCGTCACGCCTGTCCTCCTGCTCGTCGATCTTCCTCCAGCGCTCGACGAGTTCTTCCGAGGTCATCGAGGGGATCTTGRGGAACTGCGCGTGGTATTTCTCGACCATTTTCTGGTTGGTCGCCAGGTGGATCGCTCTCAATTCCTCTTGGGGGGGATTTGTGTCTCGGGGGGCGGCCATGGTGCTTGTTGTCTTGCCCGGAACCGGAGTTCGATTTCGTCCTCGTCGGTGAGTGTGGTCTGGGTTGTCTCTGCTGGTGCGAGTGCGAGTGCGAGTGCGAGTGCGAGAGCTCGATCGTTTAGATGTGAGAGGAAAAGTGAGCAAGAAAAATCCTTGCTCGTTTTCGAGTACCAGGTACACAAGTACTTGTACGTGCCGGTAGAAATGGTCCGGTTAAGGCTTTACTTCGAAGGAATTCTCAGTCGGGCATCGATTGAGTACCAGATTCCTACGGTGTAGTACTTACGCCAGCCAAAGCTCACCGTATACTCCTACTTAGATGATTCGTATCGTATTGTACCGTATGGGCACAAAAAATTGGGTTTACGATTGTCAACTGCATCCGTTGAAGGCAACTGAAGCAACATTACTATCACGCGGAAAGGTATTCTTGTTTTGGCGATTACGGGATGTACAAACGCCCGTACAAATGGAGTCCGTCTTGCTCCCAGGAACAAGAAAATTAAAAAGAATTGTAGGAGGACCGTAGGTACGTACGTTCGATATGAAAACCCGAATAGTCCGATACAGTTCCCGCCCGTTCAAATCCTGAACGACTTTTTTTTGTTTGTGGAGGTCGTATGTTTTTTCAAATGCACTTGTCGTTCATGAATGTTCAGCAACGCTCCTTAGCATCATCATCGTTTTCTACGATGGAAGTCCCGCTGGAACGATAAGGCACTTAGGATACCCGTAACCGTAAAATAACGTACATATTGACTTAACACATACGTAGTACTGTACCGTAGATAAGAACCATCCTCGTAACACTAMATAATATTTTCTTTACTGTGTATTATGTTAGATATGATAGATATGATACGCACGGTACTACGCAACATTCAAGAAACGCGCCATCTAACGCAAAAGAAAGATGATTTGTAAGGTTCTGATCCGTACGTACTGAGCGCGTACGGCAAGCAGCAATCACAATACCGGCCGGTACAAAAGCCCRCTATTCGTATTCAAACGAGGCTCTGACGCTTACGTACGAGACCAATTTTAATCGTACATGCCTGTCACATAACATATTTTGGGGAGTAGAGACAAAAAATACAAAATACATAGGGTGTATGCGTATGAGTATGCAATGAATATGTACGTACGTCCTAGTAATCTTACGTAGAGGTCATTCTGTCAAAGCAATACAAGACTAAAATTTGTTAGTACGGGTACGAACCGTATGGTAAATTTCTCGTATGAGGTACGACGTCCTAGCTCATGGCTGTACGCTTCTCACAAAGATTCGCGGTCTTGCCATATGTCCCATCATTGGATTCGGGATTTTCCGACCTCTAGTAGCTACGGTACGAGTACGTTACTGAATTCGCAATGCTTCCTGTTATGCTCCCGTCCACCGAAATGGAGGATATTCCCGTAACGTACGGTACGGTACGATACGGTACGATACGATACGGTATCGATAGCATTGTTCTTGGCAAGTCCAAATCTGAAATTTTGCGACCTCTCAGGACGACCACGAAAATTTTGCGACCTCGCAACAATGACCCGAACGAGGCCCGCAACTGCAACCAGTGGGTAGGTGTCGTACGGGAACCACAGCCTGCCAATAATTGTTCCTCTTTGGAGGAACCTGCGAACTCCATCAAACCGAAGTGTCAAGTCTTCGCCCTTGTCCTCGAATTGGATGGCAGCATTGTAGTTGTAGSACATACGTAGTAGGCAGTATCAGGGAACGGTACGGGTACGAAGTCTCGGCATCCGAAGACGACACCGGTCGGCAACGGCAACAATTCGATATTCGATATCCACAAGGGGACCTCTCTCGCAGTCCGAACTAGAAATTCTTTCTCGGCGATCCGATCCATCGCAACCAGTGSCATATCTTCCAATTCCTTGTTCTTTCTACAACACCTGCTAGTGTTCGGGCATCTCAGACACCCTTATAATTCTTGCAGTGACACCTATGCAATTGTAAACCCCAGCAACAGCAACAACCACAACCACTGAAGCACACCWCCACCAAGATGAATTTATCTCTGTCCAGTCTCGCCCTGATTTCCCTGCTGTCGTCGACCACGACGACCKGGGCCTTTGCCTTTGCGCCCAGAACCCCCAAGACCGCATCCGGTTCTCTCTCCATGATCTCCCCCGGCTCCAAGAACGTCGTCGCCTTTACCACGACGATACACCGCGAGGAGGTCGACCTCGAGTCCCTCAGCCTGCCGCAGCTGAAGCGCATGCAGCGCGAGCTGGAAAACCTGAACGCCGCCTGCACGGAAGAGGGCACCCAGACRAATCCCGAGTGCGACGTCGTGCTCAAGGACGAGCGGGACGACGCCATTGTCCAGATCCAGAACATGATCAGCGAGCGCACGGGCAAGAACTCGAACCTGAARTACGTCGACATGGAGGCCGTCCGCGAAATGGTCAAGCAGCCCTGGACGCACTCGCTGCGCACGATCCGAAAGCAGATCTCGGCCATGGAGATTCTCAACTGCGAGTGCACCGAAGACGGAAACCAGACCGATGCCGCMTGCGACGTTCAGCTCAAGGACGAGCGGGACGCCGCCATCGAAACCCTCGGTCTCTACATGAAGAGCGTCGAGAAAATGCTGCAGACCGAGGGCGTCAGGGCCGAGGAGGAGAGGAATCGCGGGAACCTTCCCGGGGCGTCCGAGATATGTCTTGACGCCCGTGTCGGAGCAGATGGAGCAGCCGGGGCTGCCACCACCTTTGACATGGGCGAAATCCGTGGCTGCGTCGACCAGCCCGGATCCCGATCCCTGGTGGAGATGCAGTCCATGCTGGCMCAGCTCGAGGCGGTCCACAACGCCTGCACCGAGGAGGGCTGCCAGACCAACCCCGAGTGCGACGTRGAGGTCAAGGCCGAGCGGGATGCCCTCATGGAATCCCTCGTCTCGCAGATCCACGACGCAAAGCTCTGCATGGCGCAGATCAAGGCCTTTGCCGAGCAGGGCGACAACCTCGACAACGTTGCCATGGAAGAGCTCATGAACACGGTCATCAAYACGATCCCGAACCTTCCCAAGAACGGACAGTTCAGCGGACCCACCGACGAGTTTCTTGTGCAGATCTAGGAGCGGCGGGAGGCTCTCTTGTTCATACTACATCCTACCATACACGATACCATAACAGACGACACGATGTTCGAGTCGAGTCGAATCGAATCGAATCGAATCGGACCAGCTGCGCAACGGACCGAACCCAGCTCTCGTGCTGTATTATTTTTTTGCCATTATTATTCTCCCGTCCGAAGAGTCAACGAATGGGCGGATCGACGGCGACAACACGACCCGGCGTTTCGGGTTTTCTTGCGTTTTGGGAGCAAGCATGTGTAATACTAATTATTATAAAGGGTCGCRTTTGTTACATTACTACTATGGAATGCGATGTTTGTCTTGGATGGTTGTGCCGATGTCCATTACTCCGATTCGAACTTCGCCCGTCCGGTTCCTCGGATCCGCTCTGCGTCTCGTTGCACCCGGTGGTTTTGGTTGTATTCCGGTTTCGATCGTCGGCTGCCAGACACGGAAGACGATGTTTCGTGTTCGAATGGTTTTCACAACCAACCGGCGAGCATCTTGTTGCCCGATCAGCAGTGGCTACTACTAGTACTAGTACTAGCAGTGCTGCTCTTCCCCTGCCCCAAAAAACAACACACAAAAAGTTCCTTTTGACATTTCCGTGTTTCCCTACAGGTGCTTGTTTTGCGTCTTGTTGTTGTTGCTCTATAGCTCAGTGGGTAGTAGTATTACAGCAGGTACAAATAGTACTAGTATCATAGAAATATTGATACCACCATGTGACATAAGAGTAGTACTAGCCAGTAGTAGTAGGACCATTGCCAACAGTTGTTGTTCTTGTTACTATCTACCAGCAGTATTACTACCACTAGGAGCAGACTGCACAGACAATGTGCAAACTGGACCCTAGTGATTTTAGGATGGAGTTCACATTGGATGCTTCCTCCTGTTGTGTGGGACATGCATGAATATGAACTTTTTGTTCAATTGTTCTTAAATTCTTATTGGACGCGCAACCCTCTGGGTTTTCCACCATCATGGTGTGTAGTAATTATCGCCCTACTAGTATGGTACTACTCATCACATGTTTGTTGTTCTCCTCATGGGAGCCACCACCAGTGTTAATCAGTATACTAAAATCAACAAGAACACATGACGGTAGTAGTACTAGTAGTGGAGATGAAAGAGAAAAAAATAATCATACAGTATCGCAAGTGGCAAGTGCACCAACAAAAACTCTGGAACTCCTTAACCACCACCAGCAGGTACTAAACTAGTAGAAGCAACAGAGGAAGCAAATACTGCTGATGCTAGTACTGGTGCTGGTGATATCTACTAGTATAATAGCAGCCAGTAAAGAAGTCTCCAGCACAGCACCATTACTTCTAGTAGTACTAGTAGTAGTATACTACTAGTAGCTTCTCTACAGAGGAATTCTTTTCTCCTTCTACTATGATACTGGATGCTGGAAATGCAAATTTATGATTTGTCGTAAGATGGTGGGTGGTTCCTCTCAAAGTAGGAAATAGTAAGGCAAACATGACCAACTCCTGTCCTACTAGTACTATTAGTACTACTACTAGTAGTAGTTGATAACCATGCCACCACCATAGTAAAAAATTGCTAACAAGAATGCTGGTGGCAGCCATCAAATGCCTGCACAACAACAACCCACAACTTGCTTCTTGCCAGCAGACTCAACATGCTGGTATATCAGTAGTACTTGTTTAGAGGAGGAGAAAATATTTATACTTCTCCAATGGACTGCTGATGATGAACTCCTCAGCAACTTTGTGAAAACAAGGCTTGCTAAGAAGATTTGTAGTAGCAACTCCTACTACTCACTCAAACTACTACTACTACTACTAGTACTTTGTACCTATGATGTCTTCATGCAAGAATGTTAACCAGCAGTAAGCATCATGCTCGTCCTCTCCTGCTTTTTCTTTTCTTTGCAATCAAAATCCTCTTTACTCCTACTACTACTAGTACTAGTACCTCAACTAGCTAGTACTTCTACAACACCAACACCAACAAGAACAAGAATGAACAAATAAAAACAAAAACCAACAACNCTAGGAGCAGACTGCACAGACAATGTGCAAACTGGACCCTAGTGATTTTAGGATGGAGTTCACATTGGATGCTTCCTCCTGTTGTGTGGGACATGAATATGAACTTTTTGTTCAGTTGTTCTTAAATTCTTATTGGACGTGCAACCCTCTTGGTTTTCCACCATCATGGTGTGTAGTAATTATCGCCCTAGTATGGTACTACTCATCACATGTTTGTTGTTCTCCTCATGGGAGCCACCGGCAGTGTTAATTATACTAAAATCAACAAGAACACATGATGTTAGTAGTACTAGTAGTGGAGATGAAAGAGAAAAAAATAATACTGCTGGCAAGTGCACCAACAAAAACTCTGAAACTCCTTAACCACCACCAGCAGGTACTAAACTAGAAGCAGCAGAGGAAGCATAATGCTGGTTCTGGTTCTGGTGATATCTACTAGTATAATAGCAGCCAGTAAAAGAGGTCTCCAGCACAGCACCATTACTTCTAGTAGTACTAGTAGTAGTATACTAGTAGCTTCTCTACAGAGGAATTCTCCTTCTACTATGATACTGGATGCTGGAAATGCAAATTTACGATTTGTAGTAAGATGGTGGGTGGTTCCTCTCAAAGTAGGAAATAGTAAGGCAAACATGACCAACTCCTGTCCTACTAGTACTATTACTATTACTAGTACTACTACTAGTAGTAGTTGATAACCATGCCACCACCATAGTAAAAAATTGCTAACAAAAATGCTGGTGGTAGCCATCAAATGCGTGCACAACAACAACCCACAACTTGCTTGCCAGCAGACTCAACATGCTGGTATATCAGTAGTACTAGTACTTGTTTAGAGGAGAAGTAAATAGTTATACTTCTCCAATGGACTGCTGATGATGAACTCCTCAGCAAGAACTTTGTGAAAACAAGGCCTGCTAAGAAGATTTGTAGTAGCAACTCCTACTACTCACTCAAACTACTACTACTACTACTACTACTACTACCTACTACTACTACTACTACTACTACTACTACTACTACTACTACTACTACTACTAC